TAATAATAATAAATTATTATTCTATCATCGAAGATACAACAACGATATTCGGCTATTTTATATCAAATGAACAATTGCAAATCAAATGCAAGTGATTCTCCCACGGGCTATTTGTAGAACACATTTTTTTACAGGACAAAATCAAAACCCGAATTTCAGCGGCGTTTCACTGGTGTGTGAGCTGATGCCCATCTTAATGTTGTTAGGAACGTAATAAAATAATTTTAGAAAAATAAAGATCACTTCCATTCCGCGCATCTCCTGATCACTCCGGGCGCTTCACAACAATGAAATGGTATTTTGACGTCTTACCTTACACAATAGTACATTTCAAACTACCGGCCCATTTTACGTACACCAATTCATTCAAATACATAACATGATAATATGCACACGTATAATACCAACAAGATGGTTCTGACTAAGGAGCACAATCATACATGTGTAACTAACAATCATTAAAAGTATCTACTCTGTATAGAACAATGACTCTTAAATTGTAATACTTTGTTTCAAATAATTCCTTACTGGCGTCTGTGGTGTAACAGTTCGGGGTTGTTGTTTTTGCTTGTTTGTTTTATTTGTTGTTTGTTTATTGTTTGTTGTTTGCTGTTGTTGTTGTTGTCGGTCTTTTTTTATTGTTGTTTAGTTGGGGGGGGGGGGTTGTTTTGTTTTTTAATTTCGGGGCGGGGTTATAGTTTCACACTATAGATGTGAGATCACTTTCCGAGGGGGGAAGATGATTCATGTGTCTGCTGAGTTGTTGTATCCCACTCATCCAATGCTGGCCTTACAGAAAAAGCCGAAGCAGCAGCCAGCCTACAGCGTGGTTTAAATTGTGTCAATAGGTGGGAAAACACTTACAATTTTAAAGCTACGAGGTGTGTACTGGTTCACAACCAGAGGTCGCAGACTTGAAGCAGTGTTAAAAGGGTCGTGAAGGCCACACCATACGACTAGTGACTAGTAAGCAGAGCTGGGCGAAGAATCTATTCCGGAACCGGTTCCCACGATTAATGCTACGGAAGAAAAGTCCCTGGTCAGTAGTTTCTTTAATCATCTAGATCTTCTTCTGTTTTTAAAGAATTTATTTTTGAAAAAGAAAAGTTGATGCTTGGCAGTGTTCCGAAATCCAGGTTATCCTAAATCCTGCAAATGTTTGGAGCCAACTAGGTAACCATCTGAAGAAATCACATCATTAGAAAGTAAGTAATTGGGCCGGGAGTCCATTCCTACGATTCCTAGCTGCCAGTAGTCGAGAACCTAGCCGCCCAGCACTACTAGTAAGGTTGAGGTGGCGAATCCTATAGGTTCGCGGGGAGGTTTCGCGGGTACGGATTCGGGTTATTTATAGAACAGGCGAAACAAACAATCCTATTATCTTTGGAAATAATGATTTCATTATATTGGCGTATCGGGTTTGTCAGGGACTGTGTATTTAGGGGTGACCGCAGGTCAGAGCTTCCGCCTTGCTGTCACCTTGGTCGCAGGCTTATAATATCTTTGCAGAACGGTTGTGAAGGGGATACCGAGGCTTCTGAACTGCTATACTGAAAAAGGTAGTTCGAATCCCGAACAGAGCGTGATTCTTGTTGATTGAGCGGTTCCCATGTGTCACTCGAGTAACTGATAATTGTTTTGTTTTCTCAGAGAAGGGTGTAAAAAATGAGAAGTCTTGAATCTTCCTGCTTCAAAATCTTTATCATGCGTTCGATAGTACGTTCTCGTGCCAAAATGTGGTACATTACTACCTCTTTGGTGTAAGGATGCGGAGGGAGATAGAGCGATATAAGTCACGGGTCACTCCTGCACAGGGTCGGCATCTCTGTCTCTGTCACACCCGGTTCCACACACACATAAACAAATACAAAAGCACACGCACACACACACACACACTCACACGCGCGCGCGCGCGCTTGATTTAGGCCAAAAAAATCTCGGAGACCCCTTTTGCAAATTGCGCACGTAAAGATCCATTGGTGGTCCTTAAATCATTGGCCACCACCCGAGCAAAATTCAAAATTATTTCTTGCCAAAATGAAAATGCTTTAGGTGTCCCGCGCGCTCATATTACTTTATGCAAAGCCAATCTATGTGAACAATTAATTATGGGCCCCTGAAACACCACAAGGGTCACATTTGCAATGACCTTTCTGTGCGTACCCAGTAGCAGGTGCTAAATTGAAACAAAATGAATAAATGAACGTTTCCTTGAGATTAGTCCATTGACGAAATGCGCGGAGATAGAAGAAATAAGAAGGACAAAAGAAGAAGAAGATGAAGTTGACACATGAATCAGGTATCACACAAAATGGACAAAAATAATAATAATGTGTGTATGCTCTATCAGCATGCAGGGGTTTGGCATGTTTGCATGCATAGCAGCCAGTGGCATTTCAGATTTTCTATAAGTTTTTTATTACTGGAGGCACGAGAGAATGTGTGTGAGTGAGTCCGGGCTTGTGTGTGTGTGTGTGTGTGTGTGTGTGTGT